GCGTACCAATCGGGCAGCTTGAGGGGATAGATTGGTAAGTGCATCATTTTCAGTTGACGAAGCGTCAAGTAGTGCTGCAGTTATTGTCCTGGGTTGCGAATGACCTTTTGGTTGTGACATCGATTCTCTAGACTGTTCCACGGTCTCACGGACATTCTCATCGAATAATACCGTGAGTGCCTTTATGCCGAGATCTTTCAATGCTACCACACTCTTGAACTTGTTCTGTGGTGACGCGAGTATGTCCGATCGGCGACGATGAGCAACCCTCCAGATATATTCGCGCAATGCAACAAGCTTGAAGTCATCCTCCGTCGTCATTCCTGCGTTCCGGAGTTTCTTGAGCCACAATTCGTCCTCGTCGTTCCTAGGCAACCTCTGCAGCGCCTTTGCATCCAGATGGCGACCAGATATTGCAGACAAGCTGTCGTCCGAGGATCCAAAGGTGAAGGTCTGTTGCTGCCTTGCAGGTGTCCAGAACAACCCTTTCTGTGCCTGCAAGGCCCAATTTGAGGTCATTTCCATTAATAATCTGGTGAAAGGGCTCTTTAGAGAGTCGAGAATTCGGGGCGGCGTAAATTCAGAGGGAATAATCTTCAGATAGGGTCGGATGAGGTTGATGAGAATGCTGTGTCGATCTGCAACAGAGAGGTATTTTGATGCTACCGAGATGAATTGTGCGGCTGCTTCTCGAATCCAAAGATTGGGATGCATCGTTAGCCGTGCCACTACATCCACCAGTTCCCAAGTTTTGGATCGCTGGAATAGCCCAAGCTCTGCCATGGACGAAAGTGCTCGCATGACCTTTTCCACCACAAATTCTTCGGGGTCGGTCAATGCTTGAACCATGAGGGGTAATATGTACCCTTCTAAGCTGGCACCGCCTACAAACACGGCGACCCCAACAATGGCTTCAAAGAAGGCCACCTTTAGCATCCAGTCCGGATCATTGAGATAAGTGTTCAGGTGGCTAAGCACAACGTCATTTGCTCTTGGGCTACCGAAGAAGACACAGAGCTCAGAAACAGATCGGAGCATAGCTCTACGAACAGAAGCATCAGAGTCCGTGAGCAGAGCCTTTGTATGCTTCTCAAATGCCTCGAGTAGTATTCTGCGATCCGAATCAAATTGGTTCCGATGGGTAGATGCAGATAGGTCGTCCTCTGTCTCAGGGTCTGCTGCTGGTAAAGAACCATCAGCACGAAGTGCCTGAATCATATCGAGATATCTAGCTGCCGTAGTTGCCAGCGTGCCGAGGCAGAATGCATATTGCATCCGAATCAGAGGGCTGATAGGCGTAGATGAGTCTGGAAGGTATGCCTCAAGTCGCGGCAGAACGTACTCCGGAAATACATATGCATTAATTGGGGACACAACTTGTACCATTGCCAGAATCTGTGTGAGTATCCGCAAAGCAGCGATCTTCACTTGTTCTGACTTGTCGGCCAGTAATTGAGCCACATACGGAACGACGCGATCTAGCTTTGCTTCATCGGTGAGGCGTTCAGAGAAGGCCATTAGAAGCTCGAGACCCCGAACACGCGCTCCTGTGCGGGCAGTCCCCCTCAGGCAAGAGACAACAATGGTCAGGAAAATCAAGTTCCCGTCATCGACTGCCAGGCTTGGGGTTGGCGAGGCTTGATGTTGGTAATTGGGAATATTAATGAACAATGGAAAAAGTCTGGCATTAGGAGCAGGAGGGGAAACTAGACTTCTTGGTAACTCTCTTCCTATTGAGCTCGAAAGGAGGTGGGCTATCTTGTCGAAATCGTTGTATATCTGTTCTATTCGTTCGTCTGGCTCTCCAAGATGCTCCGTACCTGTCGTGATAGGTTTACGGCCTGAAGAAGGATCGGTGATGGAATACATGTACTGCTGGAGGAAGCCATAGAAGTAGCTCGGGAACACCTTGTCTTTCCAATGTGTAAGATAGTCATCGGCGGACATTCTCGAATCGGGATCGACCTGGATCATGTGCGTGATGAGTTCTCGTATATTGACATCTTGAATTTTATTCAAATGCGAGTGCCCGGGGTCGTATTCGCCTTGTCGATACTTGAAGAGCTGGCTTAGTGAAAAGATGGGTGCCTCCAAGAAGAGTTCGGCTATGACACAGCCCACACTGAAGATATCCATTGCCCAATTAACTTCACCTTCGCCCTCTGGGACCTGGCCTGCTGCCAGAAATCTTTCTGGCGCAAGGTAGCAGGTGCGCCGACCAGAAAGATCAAAGTAGAAAGAGAAATCGGCCGGATTATCTTCTGGGAGATGAGCTGGTTTGTAGGACGCAGAGAAGTCAGCAAGATAGAGCCAATTCCAGGACGTGACCAGAACATTTTCGGTTTTAATGTCGCCATGGAAGACATTGTTGGCATGACAATCACGCACAGCGCAAAGCAGCTGGAATGATAGCCATTTCTTCTCGATTTCTTCAAGGAAAGGACGAGTGCTAGAAGGGAGGCTGAGTTTTCGTACAAAGGGATGGTGGAAGGTGGAAATACCTCAGTCGGTCATACAAGGAGCTGTGGATATACTGGCGCACCAAATAGCCGCAAGCTGCAGTTTCAATGACACGATGGTAGGCCAGGGCATTAGGCACGTATACAAGCACCTTACGTTCATCTAGTAATGTCAGCGTTATATCAGCGAGGATCGGGCGTGGACTAGAGGCTTACGGAGGAGACGTCCGACATAGGTCTGAAAATCGAACTGTGCATATGGCTTCATAACAACACGTGCGATTACAAGGCCATCTATATGTCGAGCTCGAACGGTCTTCATGAAGCGAGCAGCTCCTAGCGATTTTTCATATTGAAGGTCGGCCAGCTCCGGCACGTCGATATTGGACGAGCCGGCCGACAGAGTGGTGAGGGAAAAGCCTTGGCCCATGGTGGTGAGGCAACGGTTTGGTGACGGTGACGGCAATGCTAGGGCGTGGAACAATACTGGTGCCTTGCTGCCCTCATGTTGGTAGTCTGCCTCTTTCACTTGGGGTGGCTCTCAGTAATGTAAGAGACGAGCTGCCCCAACGGCGACAAGGGGGTGCTGAAGGCCGTCACACACTGGATGGCACTGTGGTAGCGGTTGTGCCGAGTGAGTCGGTATCAGGTGCAGTTGAGGGTCAGCGTTGGTCAAGTGGTGGCAGACGCGACCAGTCCCCGAAGGGTTAGCGGAAGGGGCACCCAGGCCACATGCATGTGCAGCGCCAGCCTCACGTCAAACTGACTGCACATATGGTTTGTCCACCTTGACGACGTACTGTAGAAAGCTTCAGGCACATTCATTGAGCCCATGGCCGGGGACCAACCGAAACAGCACATTGTCTTCTTCCACCCCGACCTAGGCATCGGCGGGGCAGAGCGTTTGGTGATTGATGCCGCCGTCGGGCTGAAGAATCGCGGCCACAAGGTGACGCTATTCACCTCGCACCGCGATCTGCAACACTGCTTCGACGAGGCCCGTGATGGTAAGCCCCTCGCCGTGCCTCTGTGACGACCACGCATCGCTCATGCATGGACAAGCAGCTTGAGGCCTGACCCTGACCGAGCGCAAAGGAACCCTCGACGTGCGAGTACGCGGAAACTCGCTGGTCCCCTCCACGTTGCTTGGCCGCTTTGCCATTCTCTGTGCCATTGCGCGACAGCTGCACCTGATCCTGCAGATTGCCCTCTTCTCCAACGAGCTCCAGCTACTGGCGCCAACGACCTTCTTCGTCGACCAGCTCAGCGCCGGCGTCCCCGTTCTGCGCCTGCTCCTGCCCCGCGCGCGCATCATTTTCTACTGCCACTTTCCGGACAAGCTGCTCGCGAAAGAGGGAGGAATCCTCAAATCGCTTTATCGCCGTCCCTTCGACTGGCTTGAAAGCTGGAGCACAGGTTGCAGCGACACTATTGTCGTCAACAGTAACTTCACCAAGACCGTCTTCAGCCAGGCCTTTCCAAGTCTCAGCCATCGGCTCCCTCGCGTAGTCTATCCCTGCGTCGACACCAGTGCGGCTACCTCGAATGTAGGTCAAAAGCCCTTATGGGACAAAAAAAAGGTGCTGTTGAGCATCAACCGCTTCGAGAAGAAGAAGGACATTGCACTGGCTCTCAGAGCATATGCTGGGCTCTCTTCTATCGAGCAGCAGGATGCGAGGCTAGTTATCGCCGGCGGCTATGATCCTCGCGTGCCAGAAAATGTGTCCACGTACACCGAATTGTGTGACTTGGCAGACTCGCTCAAACTGAAGCATGCAACCGCTCAGAGTTTCACTGCTGCTCAAGGCGTCCCAGACGATATAGCCGTGCTTTTCCTCCATTCCATTGATTCAACCTTCAAGGCCACTCTGCTATCTACATCTCGGCTGCTGATTTATACTCCGCTAAACGAGCACTTTGGCATTGTGCCACTGGAGGCAATGTTGGCTGGTACCCCAGTGCTAGCTGCCAATCAAGGAGGCCCCACAGAAACGGTCATTAGTGGCCAAACAGGTTGGCTTCGGGACGTCAGCAAAACACAAGACTGGACGGAAGTCTTGCGCATTGCTTTAGAGGATGGCGACGGTGAAGAGAGGCTAAAAGAGATGGGGAAGTGGGGCAAGCAACGAGTCGTAGCGGACTTCTCCAAGGAGAAACTAGCTGAGAGATTAGAGCTGGAGATGAATGCGATGCTATCGAAAGATGTGCGTCCCCAATTAGTGTCAATGGTATTCCTATTGATTCCTGTTGGGCTGTTGGGTACTTTCGTTGCGGTTTGTTTGGGGCTGATGCTTTAGAGACAGCCAGGAATGCGGCACTGAGTCACCTGCTGTATCGTCATTCAGAACGATCTAGACAAGACACATTCAACTAAAATTATTATGCTGGTACTTTCTTGTAGCAAAATAAAAGCTTTAACAAGACTTGGTGAACAACTTGATATATATAAAGTGCACTACCCATAAAGAAGCAGCCTAGAAGTCTTTGTTTGGTATATGGAAAGGTCTGTTGAAAAAGAGAAGAAAAAATGCAAAAAGAGAGAGGTCTAACCAAGATTCGAACTTGGGTTGCCGGAAGGATTTTGACAATGATAATCAAAATCCGGAGTGATAACCACTACACTATTAGACCGATCCAAATGTTATTTGAAGCGCATGTGGAACATTTCGCCAATTAGACAATGAATATACTACCGTTTCAAATACACACTGCCACAAAGCAAAATTTTAGATTTGCCATGACGGCTAAGCGCGAATAGAAGAAGTGGGTCTGTCTTTATATTAATAAGCCGAAAACTTGAAATTTGGCAACCAATGAAGTATCAGCAAAGATGCAGTTCTTTCTGTCCCCTTCAGGTTTGAACACGTCATTCAAGCCTTGTTTCCACTCGACTTTATGTTTCGTCCCAGCAGAATAAAGGAGGATGATCTCTGAGATATTATGGTGATTGGGTCTAGAAGATGTACCATGTCACGTCCATGCATTGGTGATAAGGACCCCAGCTTTGCTATTGCTTCATAAATTTTTGCGATATGAAACCCTATTCCTAAGGCTAACGTGGTAATTTGTGAAGTAACTTTCAACGGATTTCATTCAAGATGATAATGGGGCAATGTGCTAAATTGTGTTCTCTCTGTGCTTCGTAGATTTCCAATCCTAATTATTTGAGCGACTTCAATTTCTGTTCAAATGCTTCCTCAACATCAACCAAGTGCGATGCTTTAGTAGATAAGCTTGCCATAAGATAAATTACGTTTCCAAGCACACGCGAATGAATGTGCATGTTTGCATTCGAGGATTGGTAAAGAAGCGCATCCCGCAAGGCAATTGCTGCAGAAGATGAGTAACCTATGTGCCATTAGTCAAAACTGTACAATCTCTGCAACATGATTCTGTGCATTCCTGCAGTGAGGCATCATGTGGCTATCAATTCAACTTACCTGATCCAGATGCATCTACTAGAGAAACGGCCAGAACACAACCCAAGGCGTTCACGTAATCAACCCGAGGGCTTTGAGAAAGAGCGGTAACGAATTCTTTAGACCACATACTCCAAGTCCCTTTCTCCGATTTCTCGGCAGCGAAAACGTTTTCGCTGCATTGGTTATTCGATGCCTGCTTGGACATCTCTTGCTCATCATCGGACCAATCTATGCGATAACGATTCCAAGCAGTACCTTCAGCCAACCCTTTCATGGTCTGTAGGCTCTTGTTTGCGACGTGGCAGCCAATAGGATGTGCAGTATAGCTATGTCCATGGAGAAGGGCATCCGATTTTGCGTCACTCCAAAAGGCTTCGAAAATCGAACGACTTGCTGCTGTGACAGATAGCGGAATCAAGCCTCCGGTGAGTAATTTAGCATGAACGCTGATATCAGGGTTCACTCCAAGGAATGAGGCTGATGAGAAACGACCAATCCGATACAGCCCCGTGAAGACCTCATCAAATACAACGGGAAGGCCGGTCCATGAATCTTTGTCCTGAAAGGGTGGCGGTTGGCATTCGGGATCACTTGTAAGTGCAAAATTAAAACGGCGAACGACGCGCACGATGCTCTCCTGGAATAGCGGATCCACAAATATCATACCCCCGGCGCCCAATATGACAGGCTCCATGACAAGTGCGCCAAACCTCTTGCCTTGCTTCTTGACCAGATCATCCAATGTTTTCTCGATATAAGCCTCGTATGCGGAAGACGGACCTCTACGATTCAGATCGAAAATATGATCCAGCTTCTCGAAATACATCATTTCACCGAAAGCTTCTTCCATTCCTTCCGGCGGTTCAACAAGCCATCGTCCTTTTCTCATTTTGAAAGTGGGATAGTCAAACCAATATCCACGGCCACGGTACCAGTCCACATTCTGGTTGAAGATGCATGGCTCTGAGGCGTCCATTGCGCCAATCGTATCACCATGGTAGGAGCCTTTCAAGCCGAGGATTCCAATATCATCCCGGTCCTTTTGCCAACCATAGGTCTTAGAGGCAGCTCGAATCGCCATCTTAATACCAACCTCTGTGGCAGTGCTTCCATTATCCGTGTAGAAGATTTTCTTCAGGCGAGGATTTCTTAGGCCGCGAAGTAATTTCTCTGCGAGAACTAAGGCGGGTTCATGAGTTGCTCCCGCAAACATGACATGCCCGTAGCGGCCTGCAGCATATGCCGCTGCGAGAGCCAGTTTAGGATTGCCGTGACCGAGCCCTGAACCAATTAGCCATGCTTGTGTTCATTTGCGGAGAATAGTATCACCCTGCGTCCACCAAGAAGCAGATCCATCGAATGCTGGATAAAGAAGTTCTTGATTCTCATGGTATCCACTTCCACGGCGAGATTTTGTGGTATGCTTGGTTTGAAAATAGTCGCCATATGCAGAGTCGAAGACAAGTACGTCCTCTGAGTTCTCGATCTGCTTATGCTGTGTGAAGGGATGCCAAATGACATCTTGAGTTCGCTTGGCCACTATATTTATATTTCTGTTAGCAGATAACACGCTTGCGGGAAAGCTCTAGGTAGCTGTTGTGACCTGACAATAACTTCGAGCTTAGAGCCTCACATACTGTGCTCCATTTTCTCAACTCGATATCTGTGTTGAGTAACCACATGTTTTGCAACATCGGAAGCGGGCTCTCTTCTGCTTTCAGCCTGGTAGTAGTTCTGCATTCGGTTCACCTCCTCTTCCTCACCCACACCATCGAGATTTGGAATCCAGGGAATGATAAAAGTGGCGATGTCAAGGTTCTCGAAGTATGACTTCAGATAGGCTGCGTTCTCATATCGACTGTGATCATCGAAACAAACTACCGCATCGATATCGTATCCCCGCAGTGTAAGAGATTCGGCAGCCGCGATGGTCGAAGCAATACCTCCAAGTCGTGAATCACTAACAAGGATGACTGGAATCCGCATTGGACGGAATATATCGGCTTGAGGCGTACCAGAAGGCCCTACATGACCATCAGACAAGATGAATGCGGTATGATCATTCTTGCGCACTCACCTGGGGAAAGAACACCCCCGGCCGTCTCGATTATTGCAATGCCCATACTATCTCGGTTGAACGGAGATGCGCTCGCAAGGTGTTTGAGATGACCTGATAGGCGAAGGACGAGATGCTCGTCGCTCGGCTGCAACTTGTCAGTGACGTCTTCCAGCACTTGAGGTTTCCAGGTTGGCGACTAACAATATACTCTGCACCACGAGCAGCAACGTGTGGACTGACTGGCTCTTTGAACTGGAAGAGCGTAGTTACAGATTCCCCAGTGTACCTCCGAACGTACCTTGGTTGTTTCAGTAGGGTCCCGAAAAACGACCTCAACAATAGCAGCTCACCTGTCATCTGCTTCATTCATAGGGCCCGTAGATACGGGTTTGATGTACTGAACTTTCCATTTGGTAGTGCCGGCGCGTTTAGCAAAATGAGCACCAAGCAGAGTAGAGAAGACTGTTTTGCCAACGCCAGTGTTTGCGCCATAGATCTGAACAGTGATGAAATTGTGCCACAGCCCAGCCGCAACTCTCGACATCCTTCACAGCATAAATGGAAATGGTGTATAAGCAGTGTGCTGCCGCATCAACGGAATACAGTACAGGAAACCTTTCCAGGGCTGCAATATGTTGCAGTGGAGATTACCGGCCGCGCTAGCTCCAAGAGGTAACGGTGGCTTCGTTCCTGCATACATAGCGACATGAGCTCTGCATGCGCCGTCCACATTCAACATACTCAACCGATCTCGGACCGCGGCTACTTAAGGTCTAAGAGATCTTTCAAACAGAAATGACTCATTTCCCCGCAAAGCCCACATGCTGCCGAAGGTAGTGCAATCCAGAGTTTGCCCAAGGGAGTACGTACATCCGCTAGCGGTATCTGGCCATCCAACCCGTCGTCATCATCAACAGCACCTTTCAGATCATTGTAGAAAATTTGAGCAACCACGACAGGAAGAGATGATAAGCAATCAGAATGGAAAGTCTCTGGAAGATCAACTGCAGATTTTGCTGGATCGGCGATCCGTCAATTCAACCCTTCGGAACCTCACACTTCCTCGATCAAATCAAACGGATTTTTCTTCCAACGACTTTCTTTCCCTTTCGACGAGTTCTCATCTAAAATTCAAGTACCTCTCGGAACTCTCAAGCACTGGACTACCATTGGGCAGCAGCGGTTCACGACTATTGGACGGCAATTCCACATATGCCGAAGAACTGGAGCGATCTATTGCCGGCTTTCACGGGGCCGAGGCGGGCTTGCTGTTCAATTCTGGATTTGACGCAAATGCTGGCTTCTTCGCCTGCGTGCCACAGCCTGGAGATGTGATTGTCTACGATGAGCTTGTGCACGCAAGTGTACACGATGGTATGAAGCTATCGCGAGCGTCAAAGACAGTCTCCTTCCGTCACAATTGCTGTACTAGCTTTCGGACTGTCCTCGAGGAAGTGATTAAACAAGGCGAGAAACCAGGAAATCTCAATTGCAAGAATGTGATTGTAGCCGTTGAGTCAATATACAGCATGGATGGCGATGTAGCACCACTCAGAGAGCTAGTCGATGCGATGGACGAGATCCTAGGTACTGGCAAAGGGTGTATTGTTGTGGACGAAGCACATTCCACTGGTGTCCTCGGACCAAAGGGAAGCGGTCTAGTGTGTGAACTTGGACTTGAAACCCGCATATTTGCTCGGTTGCACACATTTGGCAAAGCATTAGCTGGTAATGGAGGTACGTGGCCCTTGTTTTCTTCGTTATTTGTGAATCATACGGAAGCTTCTGCCATCCCCCTTTCTACTATCAACACAGGCGGGCCAGCAGTGCATGGTTCCCCGTTTGTGCAGATTCCCGGGAAAACAGCTGACAGTAAACAAGCAATCATACTGGGCTCCCATACCCTTCGAAAGTACCTGATCAACTATGCGCGGCCATTGATATACACTACATTTCTATCTTACCCTTCACTGGCACTGATACGCGCATCATATCAAATGATGCAATCAGCAGAGACTGTGTCACTACAAAAGCACCTCCACCAACTCACGTATTTGTTTTTCAATTCTTTACGAAAAATACATGGGGCATCTAATGCTTTGCAGACACTTCTGAAAGTGCCGAGCGCTTGCCCCATGTCCCCAATATTT